GTTTACTAATATTAATATAATAAATCAAAGTTACTTTATAAATTTTAAATAAACTGAAAGTCATGATAACAATTTGTTTTCAAATCAATACCAGTTATTTGTGATTGGTTATGTAACTCCAAATTTTAATATATACTATCGTAATGTTATATGGTATTAAGTATTGTTTTATTACACAAATTACTTTACGCGAGTAAATGTAATTTAATACATAATGAGACTTCTGCCCTAGAGACCATGTTTTCATTGATCAATAAGTTAATCTATATATATAAAAATGAATTACTCTTCGTTAGTCTCACTAACACTCGAGAACGGCTGAACGGATTTATCTTATCTTAGTAAAGGAATCTAAGGAAAACCCTTAAAACATCCGCTTTCTATTTCCCATACAAACGTTTTTTAAACATTAAATTTGACAACTAACTAATATGTCAATCATTCTGTCGCACTTTAGAGCACGGAGGTAAACTGCAAAAAATTAAATAAAAAAAATATTTAATTATAGATTGAGGCAGTACGAAGTCTGCCGGGTCAGCTAGTATATAATATAAAAAAATATAAGGCAAAATAGAGTTAAGATGTGTATCCTAAGATTACTATTTAATTATAGAATTGTATTTAAAAGCCGTCGTAAATTAACCCTTTATTAATAGTGTTATTTAGGCTACTTAAAAAAATAATAGTCCAAAAGAATACTTAATTTTTTATGTATCGTTTGATTTATTTTTTATTGTTTAATAATAGGAAGGAACCATTTTTTTATGTTATTATACATTCTCACCACTTTCTCACAATTAGAAATTAATTTCTTTTTAAATATACCACAAAAATCACTGAAGCCGTAAAACTAACTAGTCACGACCCGAAAACATGAAACAATAGATTTGAAAGATAAGAAAGTGTTTGAAGAAATTTAACTTTAATTAATACTGGAAAATTAACAACGAGAAACATTTAATAAATTATAAAAGAAACTGATTAAAAATTTCTCAGTATGCGGTGAAACGCGATACTTACAAGAAGTGTGCTGACTAAGGTGAGAAGGGATATATGGAATGATAAAAGCCACTTTGATTTTATCTAATCATAAAGTTTTAACCAATTCATAACAACAAGCACGATATAACTGATACTAAAATGAATCACGCACAAAAAATAAACAAATATATAAATACATGAGACTGTATTAAAACTTAGTGTATGCTTCTAAAGTAAATGAAGTATTGAGCGAAAAATTATTATGTGAAGTTAAACAACGCTCTCTGATACATTTCTAGGGTTCTCTGTCCACTTTTCGTGTTCCAGACGTGATGTCAAACACGTGCCTCGCCAATGTAGCTGACTGTTAAGTCAGCGTAACGTGATGAATTTTAGTCGCTGTATTTCATAGATTGAAAACAATACGCCAAGTATGAACCATACAGTGATCTTAGAACGTACGAAGAATTATTTTAAGACTTTAGATGTATTACATTATAAAACATAACAAGAATTGTGTTATTCATGACTTTTTTGAGAATTTTAGAGTGATCTAGTGATATTTTCTGTATTCATTTTTGAAACGTATGAATATAAATTTTTGAAATTTTAAAAATAAGTGCAATGCGTATTTACGAAAAATTTTATACAAAACGTCTCAAAAAAGTAAGTATTCTTGAAACTGAATTAATATTGTCTTCCATATAGCGATCTTATTCAGAATAAATAAATAATAATACCCTGTTCCAATTATTTTATCTATGTTTTTTAAATGCATTTATTTTTTTTTCTTCAGATGCTAAGCTATAAACTTAAAGTACCTTAAAAGTTACGATATCCTGTTGAATTTCATGTTAATATTACTTACATATTTCGTCCTATACTTTCAACCAAAAAAGTATAGAAAAACAATAAGGAATATGTATGTTGATATTTACAAAAAAAAAACGATATTTCTTTAATAGATAAAAATAAAATACAAAAAAAATTAGTAACGGAAATCTTCATAAATTCTATCACGTATTATTATAAAAGAAAATTCTTGAGATAATTTTTAAGAGACAAAAACATTGAAAGGAGGGGCTTATAAGTATTACTAATTGCAAATATGATGTGAACATTTTTGCCATAGCGCAAATTTTGTTTGAAATACAATTATCTCTTTTATTTATTGAAATGTTAATTTATTCTACATAATTATTGTTCTTTTATTAATGTCTTCACATATTTATTGGCTCTCCATCAATTTAATGTTATTCTTAGTACTAATAGCCACAAATATAATAATAACATTTTAATTGCTCGTTCTTGTAACTTGGTTATATACAAGCTAGTTAGAAAATATGTGTTACTAGATAAGAGTACTGGCAATAAAATCGACAAGTTTACTTTGTTTTGTTTCATCCAGATATTATTAAGATCTAAAATTTGTTAACCAAACTAATTAAATTTGTATGGGTGAATATTTAATGGGTATAGGATTTTTCATAATAGCTTCATAATCACAAAGAACTGAACGACATTTAACTATACGGAGACAAGTTTGTTTTAAAATCTAAAGTACCAAATCTTAAAAAAATGTAGATATTTTAATCAAAAAATATGTAAAATATAAATATTTTAACAAAAATATACTTTTTTTATAGAAAAAAAATAGATAGATTTTATAGAAAAGAAAACTCAATACACCAACAATCAAAACAACATAAAGACAAATTAAATATTATAATAATATAATATAATGTCACAATGCTAATTATTTTAGAATAATAAATTAAATCTCAATTTATTTCGTAAAAGATAATGAAAAGGAGTACATAGTTGGAAGGCTACTGCATACAATATATCCAAGTTTATAAATAGTGTAATATACACGTCTTCAAACGTAGTCGCGGAGCTGTAGTCACATATAACACTTATTATCGTGTGGTGAAGTGTTGTACATTGTAAGTTTATTTTTATTTAACTATTGTTGAAAGATAATACAAATATTCATCATAAAAATATATATATATTTTCGTTCCATACAAATTTAATAATTAAGTTAAATAAGTGAACATAAAAAAAATATGATCTGGTTTTTTAAACAGAATCAAGTATTTTATATGATAAGAAATAATAAAATAGGCTTGATCGAATTTCAGTTATTTAAGTTCAATTATAATATTTGTTTAATATTTTTAAATATTTGCGAATGAATGATAAAATACAATTAATTGTAACACTCATATCTCAAGTAGATGTGAAACGTGCGTAATTATCACTTAAATTCTAACATAATCGAATACATCGAAGATAAATCACCGGTTCGTATAACCACGTTTTAATCCGTTTCCAATAATATAAATCTAATTATAATTCTGCTTTCATTTAAATCGATATTTCCTTGCTTTTTTCTCATAAAAATGTAGACTATTTTCAGTAGTAAATATTCACACATTTCTGTATGTCTTGATCTGTTTTTTTATGGAGTTAATATTAGTTTTAACATGACTCCTCTTATTTTAAATTAGTTAAGGAATTTTATATATTTTATCATCACTGCCAAGTCCTGTATCATCATGTCATCATACAATTGAATTTTAAGTGTATTTTATGTACTTTAGTGTGGTTAATAATGTTTTTATAACTCTCTGAGATTTATAAGACAATGTAAACCATAATATCATAACAAAAGTTATGTAAAAGACGATAATAATAAAATTTTTAATGGTTTTTTATAAGAAATACAGTTCATGATATTACAAGAATACTTATTCTATATAAAATTAGAATTTACTGAACAATATACTTATGGATTGAAAGAATTACTTTTAAAAAATCTTTTATTACAGACTTACAGTAAAGTTTATAAAAGTTATCATAAAGGTAATAGTTTACTTGAGATGTTTTAGTTATGACAAATTTTAATTATCGTCTCTAAACGACTCACCTAAAAATAAATTACATCGAACCGTCAGGTTTCATGCAAACTATTTTTCATCTCTAAACCGAAATAGTACACTACAGAGTCCGTTGTTTCAATAACTTTTTATCAAGGTATTCTTTGTGGAACACATTTAATCAATCGTTTTGTCGAAAAAAATTCGTCAAAAATCACATTGTATATATTTTTATTTGTTCACTAAATACACTTATTAGACATAGTGATTTTAAAATAATTACGAAACCAACTGAATAGTAAAATACACCAGTTAATGAGTTATAATATGACAAATATTTAAGTATTCCACATAAACTTTAACTTTAATAATTTCAATGTATGCCACTATTTATCGATATGAAGCAAAATTCCCAAAGAATTTTAATTGTCATAAATAATATACTAATGGTTACTAATGTTTTCGTGTCATTAAAATAGACACTTGCCGTAATTAATGATTATTTTTTAATGTATAACACTGCTTAACAATATTTTTTTTTAGTTTTACCGATTACAATTACAACTAAACTCAACGCAATTGATATAAAATAAAAAATTCTTTTTTATATATTGTATTTATAGTATTTTGTATTTTTTTTGTTGTAAATATTTTTTTATTAAACAAGTAAAGGCACAAGCAAAGGTAACTGAAAGATCTTAATTCTAGCAAATTCAGAACTATTTAGACGTACTCAGAATACGCAAAAAAAGCAGGGAATTTATAATATAATTTATTAAATCAGGATATTTGGTTGTATTAATTATTAATAATATTTTAAAACTAAACAAATAATATATTAACCGAATATAAAACTGGGTTTTGATATTAATCTAAAAAAGAATTGGAAATTATTATTTTAAAATTCCCATTTAATATAAGTATGGAGGAAATTCGTTAATGGTTTCTGTACATAATAAGCGGAATCGATAAATTCACTAGCTATTAATAAGGTAATTAAAAATCCAGCTTTATAAATCATTAGGTTTAGGCTCAGTGGTCTATTGTGGTTGTTGCGAGTCACACATCGTATAGGAGTTATCATAGTATTGGTGAATTAAGTCATCTTGTATTTTCAGTTTAAGAATGACAACGGATATGCCGCTACGGTTTCCTGATTGGGATCTAAACAAGAGTCTATGTAAGTTGTTTTCTTTAATAATACCTAATCTAAGCGGCGATGTGATACCTAGTGCTCTATAGAATATTTAAAAAAAGTTTATTTTAAAATCCTCAATAGTATTATGTATTGTTTACCAACTGTTTTATAACTTGAAACAAAAAAGTATTCAATATTTATTTATTTTGTAAATTTAATTTCATATGTTATTATATTTATCATAAAAATATTGCATTTTTGTAACTAGGAAATCTATAATAATAGTATATTTATTTAATGTAATTCTCGGTTTAGTAATCAAAGAAATTTTAGTAACAATTAGTTTGACATTTTTTGTTGAAATATTCCTCTAAGGGAAATCCCCAATCGAAAGACTTCTAATTGTAATGTATATTTAAAAATATTTGAACTCATTTTGTATATTAAGACTTAAAAATCCAAATAAACTACGTTTTAGTTATTAGTACCAAATTTTTGATTCTGAACGATGTATCTGGGTTACTACAATTCATGTCATTTCGCATAAAAAAATAAGAAAAACGTGCCCAAGTTTTAATAAATATTAAAATCATCTTGTATATTAAAGATTATAAATTTGAGTATCATGGTTTAAATTCAGATTTTCTTAAAGTATTTTCACGTTTATAATAGTCTGTTAATCCTAAGTACATTATGTTAAATTTATATAAATATCTTTAAACTTAAGAGGCCTTTGACAGATTTTTAGAATTTTAATGAGTATTTATATGTCTATGAATAAATTTAAGCCTCTGTAAAGACACTATTATCTACAAAAATTTTTGCTTTTAATGTCTATAAATCTCCAAAAAATACGTAAATAATACAAAATTAGAATTAGAAAATTGTCTTAAGTATCTAAAGAAAAATGTCTTAAATATAAAAATCTAATTAGGTACGTTGTAGCAACATTTGAAACATTTACTTTAAATAAATTGGTCATAAAGGAGCTCTTATTTTCTGTAAATCTTACTTTTTGACCTCTAACTTAAAAGAAACACATTTGTCTATGTTACATTAAAATGCAACATTTTATCCCGTCGTTACAAATAAGGCGTTCTGAGAATAAAAACAAGTAGTTATAAAAATTGTTATTACCACTTGCCATGATTAACAACATCTCAATGGGTTTATAACTACCAGAGCTAAATTTGTCTTTGTATTAAATATAAAGACTTCAACAGTCAATAATATTGAAGAATTTATTACATATAAAATACTTTAAGCAAACACTATATATAATAAAATTAAAATATCGCCACATCAGTTTCGTATGTACTAAAAATGATACGATTAAGTACAATCTCTTATAAAGGTTTTTTAGAATATAATTTTAAGTTTTTATTTTTTTCTTGGGCTTGTTCTATTGGATATACTATTTATAATTGTATTTTAATTTTTCAGTTTAAAGTTTTCAGTTTTCAGTTTAAATGCTTTCCAAACACTCACAACGAAATATCAGATTTTTATTGTCGATCAATTACTAAATTACTCTGGGAATACTCATATTTATAATTAAATAGCTGTACAAAAAATATAAAATCCTATAATTATTTCCAGATATATTGTTAAAAATACATGAGAAGAACCTCGTCAATGATTCTCACGGCATTACTTATCAAGTGTCACTTTTTAAATTGATGTATAATTAATTATATTATTAATAAACATAACAAATAGGTTTTTCCCTTAATTATATTTTTGTATCTGAACGGCAATACAGATAAAGTATATGTGTCATTTATAATAATAATAAATTGGATATAGATAAGTAGGGCTGAAAAAAATTGACGAATTTCATTTATAAAAACTGTTCTTGTGAGTATATTAACATTAATCATTTTCCTACAACGTATATTTTATTTTTTCAAAAGTGGACCCAAAATTTTTTTGTGTATATTTTTATATCTTTTCAAGCCTTTTGCTAAAGTTTTTTATTTAGGTATCTTGACAGTTATGAAATACTAATCAATATTTTTACTTAAAATTCACGTTAAGCTATTTCTATTACAGATGGGGAAGTAGACTCACTCCCGCTCATGGCTACACCTGGGCCAGTGTTGATGATTTTGGCACTCTATTTGTTATACGTTCTCAAAATAGGACCAGCTCTCATGACGAAACGAGAACCTTACAAATTGACAACAGCTCTTTTACTGTACAATGGCCTTCAGGTTGTAGGCTCAGTTTACTTAGTTCAAATGGTTAGTATATTTTCTCATAATGCTTATAAGTTATTGATTAATATAATACTTCGAATTTAATATATCTGTAAATTAACATCTTAAAACTAGTGCTAGGTACTAACAGCTGATAGATTTGGCTATTTAACGATGCTTAAATATGCTTTATTGCAATATATTTTCAGTATTTATCAAGACTGATGTCACGGGGAATATTGCCTTCCACGTGTTACATGAATGATTCTAAAGAAAGAAAAGAGGTGAGATATATTAAAATATGAAATAAAGAGACATAAATTCAATTCTTATAGGTTCTAAATGTTTAACTTCTTTTTCAGATCCTAGTAGGAATTTGGTTATATTTTGTAGCAAAAGTGTCTGAATTGCTGGATACAGTATTCTTCGTATTGAGGAAGAAGGACAATCAAGTAACTTTTCTTCATTTGTACCACCACTCAATCATGATGCTCGGAACCTGGGCTTTCCTGAAGTACTGGCCTTCGGACAATCTCTTCTTTATAGGATTTTTGAATTCCCTAGTCCATGTTTTCATGTACACGTATTATGGTTTATCGGCGCTGGGTCCTAAAGTCGCGAAATACATATTTTGGAAGAAACACATGACGAAATTACAACTGGTAAGGAAATTTTACAATTTATACTTATATCTTCTATATATATAAAAATGGATTGCTGTTCCTTAGTCTCGCTTAAACTCGAGAACAGCTGAACGGATTTATCTTATCTTAGTCTTGAAATGTTCGTTGAGGTTCAGGGAAGGTATAAAAGCTGAAAAAAATTGATTCATTACTGGGAAAACCATAAAAACAGCCCTTTTCTATTTCCCATACAAACGTTTTTTTTGACATTTGATTTGACAACTAACTAATATGTCAATCATTCTGTCGCACTTCAAAACACCGAGATTTATAGCTTACAGGTAAACTCCAAAAATATAAATAAAAAAAACGTAATAGATATTTCTTGATTATAGGGCGATACGAAGTTCGCCAGGTCTTCTAGTACATTTATATATAAAACTAGTTTACAAAAAATTAAGAAGTTTTTTTCTTTTTGACTAACTGATATAAAGAGAAAGAAACAAGCGTTTTCGTTTACTGAAAAGTATCTGAGGTCTGAAAAAAAAACCAAAAACTATTTATCATTTCTTTATTATAATTATTTTGAAAATAACCACAAATGCAGTGGCGACCTTCCCAAAATGAATATTCATTTAAATTTCCAAATATGTCTGGAAAAATTCTTTGAACTGCGCCTAGTCACGACCAATGTCACTGCTCTATTGCACAACATTCGTGTGGTTCGCTATTGACTTTATAACAATACATCTTTGTTCCCGATAACCCAATGACCGTGGCTCTGCTGATAATGTGGATCATGTACGCATTATACTTGCAAATTTTTATATGCATTATGCAAGATTTGAAAGAAATCTCAATAAAATTTCTGATAACATTTGAAATAAAGAAAATTTAATAATCTCGCGTATGTTTGTGTGTAGTTCTGTTTGATTTTTTCTTGAAACTGAAACCACCTCTTAGAATTGGATATATAACCATTATCTAAGGGTTTATCTTATTCTTATTTACTTTTTGTTTCATTTAATTTATGATTTTTTATATTTATGAAAGTTTTTAAAATGAATATTTTGTTACTTCTTTCAATTTTTTTCGACCATCTATCGCATATTAACCAAGGCCAATACAAAACCAAGGACGCATATCAGCTGACCGTGTTGTTATTTAATTAAAATCATAAACGTGTTTTACATACTTAAAATTTAACAATTTGCTGAAAATGTACTTTTAAATACCTACGATTTGATAAAAATCTAATATTTCTATAAAGCCGCTGGAATTTTAAATACTAATAGGTATAACGGCTGCATCCCTTCGCAACGTACTAAAAGATTTGGGCCTGTCCAGAAATAATATCAATTCATTCTTGGAACGTACTCTGAAGGCAGCCCTAGTAGGTTCTTTTCCAATTCGGTTAGGTAGAGAGAGGAGCTTAGACGGTGGAGGTGAGCGTTTAACGCGCGTTAGATAGGGCCCCGTAAAGCTACACCTGGGTCGCAAGTCCCAGGTACTGTTGAAGCTCTTCTCCCTGCAACGCGATGGTCCTAGCACCCTTACAGTGAATCTATGGAATGCTGAGAGGTTTTGTCTCTTTCGTCTGTAATAATAACGATTTCTATATATTTGTTTCAGATACAATTTGTGTGTATAATCATACATTACATCATAGCTGTACGCACCTCAGATTGTCCACCATCGAAGGGAGTCGCTACATTCGTCGCAAGCAACACCGTTTTCTTCCTAATACTTTTCCTCAATTTCTACAGCCAAAGATATTTAAAGAAATCTTTAGACCAGGAAAACATCAGTGATAAATCATACAAAATGAAATAGAATTCACTTCACTTTTACTTGAAATTTATCTGTATTGTGCCAATATAGGATTCACATTGTTCGAGCTTATGAAATGTAACAAAAATATATGATGACATAGAAATTAATTATTAAACTTAGAAATAATGGACAAATCTAAGATTATAATAGTATTAGCATTTAAATTGTCATAATAATATTATGTAGATAATTGTAGTAAAATGTTTCTTTAATTGTAGTATTGTTATAAAAAAGCTAAGTATTAACTTATAATTAATTTTAATTTTAGAAATATTTTTTTGCAAGGTGATATATCTTTATATATTGACAATATTATTAATAAATACAAATTAATATGTTTTAATTTATAAAAATATTATTAACGAAAATGTTTTATGTCATGATTAAGTGGACCATTCGATGTGATTGGACTTTTTTACGTGTATTTTTGTTTGCTAAAAATAAAAGCAATGACCTATATATATTTTTTTTAATGAGATCTTCATAAACGAACTTTATGACTGGTTATTCAACCCAAAACTCTTTTGATGTATGAGTAACAAAAATTGACCTGCGAAAAAGGTTTGTGGAGTTTTTTTTGTGTCGTTTGTCATTATTTGATTTTGTTTATAACTTAAATGTTTTGTTAAAGTAAGTTTAGTTATATTTTGACTTTCAACCGTTAATAGGTAAAAGGGAGACATATGTCTAAGATTGAAGACATTTTTAAAAAATTAATATCTAGCATACTCGTATATATACAGTTTTTATATATCTTGCATACGACTCGCTAAATCTTATATTGAAACGGAATAACCTGTAAAAATCTTTATTCGATTAGGATATTAATAATATTTTTTAGGGAATACATTTATATATTCGTTTTTAAGTGTTGTTTTATCATAGGTTCTATTAGAGAGCAGACACTTTACTAGGTGGTTTGAATTTCAACTCGATATTTCAAAAGGCTTTCGATATCTTGTCTTGATAGTTACATTGATATACTAATTGACAGATATAAGATACAGATAGTACGGAATAATATTTTTTTCCTTTGAAGCTACAAAATATTGAATCAATTAAAGTATTTTAAAATATATTTACGCTAGTAAAAATATAACAAAATTTCTTAGTACATCATATCTGGTAATGGCCGTTTAAGCGAATTATTATGTCGTTTTAAAAATAATATTACCAAATTTGATGAAACCATTAACTTTCTTATTAATGAATGAAATGAATTAATGAATGAATGCTCAAACCTTCTCCATGTGAGAAAGAGGCCTTGCTCAGCAGTGGGCGCTGATAGGCTGATGACGAATTAAAAGTAAATCTCCGTAATAGCATGAGGTTCTCATTCTAAAACAAATATTTTTGACGCATAATAACAACAAGTTTAATAGTCGTATAATTACATAAACAATCGTCATCGTAAATTGCCTTGGGAAGTTTAATCTTTGTAAAGACAATGATCGTCATGGGAAATATGGTTTTTTTACGTACGTACAACAAATAAGTGTTACTTTTCTTCAACGAATATACCATCTTTGTTTCTATGGAGTACTTTTCCTAGGAATTTGAAAACTGGGCCAGAAGCAACCTACTAAACCTACAGCCTTAAACAGCATTTATTAAGAAAATAATTAGTATAATAGTTTTTAAAACGATAGTAATATTCTTCTTTCTCATGTAAACTTAAGCAAGAAAAGCGGTGTTCTTTGATCAGTCAACTTAATCTGAAAACGAGGGTTAATTTTAAAAATTTATATGAGTTCGAACTAAGGATTTCCTAAAATTTACAATAGACTTTTACTTATTTCGTTTACAAAATTATCAATAAAAGAAAATAAGCAGTAAGAGATTCATAACTTTCCTTTTTATATACGAAAATGTTACTTAAAACCAAACGACTAATAAAAGCTAAACATAATCCACAAATTGGCACGTTATAATTCTTACAATGTAGATACATTAGTCATCAGTGGATAGAGATATCAAAATAAAACTTTGTATTCGAGTATATTTTAATATTATAGAATATTTGATAATATTTTATAACAAGTGTATATTACAACATTATACAACACATTGGAATTATTACAAACAAAGAAATATGGAATTTATGAATCGTTTGCGCACCATAATTAGCTAAACCCCAATTTTAAGAATAATTAAAGTTATCGTTACACTCGCAATCACTACACCTTGAGTTATTATATTATTATAAATATTAACTTGTACCAATTGCAGTTTTTATTTCCAATCAAGATCCAAAGTATTCCATACATGAAATGAATTTTACATTTAATTCGGATTTTTTAGAAAATTTATTTATTCAAACATAATGTTCATGTACACAATAACAGTGTACAATTTATGATATCTTAACAAGGTAAAAAATTAACAGGTTTATGTAAGGTGTTTAATTCCATAAAGTTGTAACACAATTCAAATGTTTTTGTAATATACATTCCTTAATTTACTCGTAGAATATTAAAAATATTATTAAAATGGAAGAGACTTGTATTTTGAGCAAATCGCTAAGACTATTCAGAAATAATGTACATCTTTATATACAGATTGTTAGTATTTTATATTAAATGCAATCTACAAAAAAAATATTTATCCCATAACAGATAAAGATTTTTCTCAGATCACATCTTAATGAATAATATTAAGTACAAGCTATATAAATTATTGATAAATGTGACCAAAAATAAAATAGCTCTAAATAACTCACGATAATACCATACTACTCTTAAAAATTGACTTTCAATGAATTTTGATCCTTCGGTTGGTAACTAAGTTTGACTAAAATCAATGCACTTCTTACTTACAAAAAAATATCTGCTATAACTAGTATTGCAAGAAAATGTAGTATTTTATTCAAATTATGAAAAAATTATATTTCTGGCAACTCTAAAACTATTTCCATCATTAAAATTTTACATGCAAACAAAAAGAGAAAGATAGCATCTGTACATCTGACCTAATATTTACAATACCCTCAAATGAAAAGATAATTAATCAATCTTTTTGTCTGACTTCCCAACTCCGTTTGCATTTCCATTTGATATGGCACCATTGGTGTCTTTCTTGTCTTTCTTGTCGGATTTGCCGTAAGCCTTATAGTAGAAGTCGTAGAAGAGGTAGTAGAAGAAGATGGAGTTGGGTAGTGTGAAGACGACGGACCAGCGAGGGTACCCGCATTCATAGAAGAGAAGTTGAGAAGAATGGATGAAAGCAATGCAGAACTGGAGCTGAAAATATAAAGGTGTTTTTGGTTAAATTAATTTACTTACTTCTTTAACGGCTATCATGAGTAAGGTGTCATCTTTTATCACAACTTTTTTATTTTATCCAGCATTTTTATTTAATTTGGACAAACATTATTTATAGCAATTCCAACAATGATTTATTACAAATTGTTTTGTTTGTCAAAAATAAACAGTACCTCCATTTTGGGAACAAAATATATTTTCATCTTAGAAAATATTCTTAATATAAACTTCATAAAAAAATAAAACGATTGTTGGAACAATTTTCTCTACCCGTCTCTTACTTTTTTTTTTGAACTCATCTATATTTACATGAAAAAAATCTCACCAAAATCAATCACAACTGAAAATGAAAATCTCCCTATTACAATTGATTACTATCCCCATTATTATTAAACCTGATGAAAATTAATAAAAATGTATCGATAGCCAAAAAAACATTACCATTTGAAGAGTTGTTATATATTTCTTCCAGAACAAATATTTTTGTAGATGGGGTCCCATGGCCGCAAGCATGTAATACATGTACATGACGATGTGAACGAAGGAGTTCATTACTCCGATCAGCGTCCCGTGACCGCCGGGGTAGTACTTAGTAGCACCCCATGATATCATGGGCATAACTGTGTGGTGATACATGTGCAGAAACGTGATCTGTCTCTCCTTTTTCCTGATCACGAAGAACACAGTATCTAGAAGTTCTGATATCTTTGCCAGGAAGTAAATATAGACGCCTCTTGCTACCTGCAATTTAAATATATAATGAAGCATCATAATTGGCGTATTTACCAACTTCTTGCTTTATAACATTATACACTGAATGTTAATAAAATACAAGGTAATTATATATTATAAACTTATAAAAAATAAATAGATGCTTATACTCCAGCCGAATAGAAAACAAAACATGGTAATTCATTATAATTATACGCAAAATATTACAAAAATAATGATCAAGGTTCAGTGAAAAAGAACGATATAAAATTAAATGAAACAAAAAATATCACTCTTCATTAAAAAAAAGATATATAAAAAAATTAAATTTTCAAATAACAACTTTGAGAAAAATATGTAATTATAATATAGATGGCTTAGATAAGGAAAACTTCGCTGTTTTGCAAGTTCTAGATGTTTTATTATGTCGTCACTGTTTAATAGAATAATAAAAAATATAACAAAAACAAAAAAAATAACTTTAATCTCGGAATAAATTACATTTATTATTAACTTTGTCAGTATTCAACATTTTAATTAAATGGTTTATAGACTATTGTTTAATTTTAAATATGGCTCGAAAACTGGTTATTTTTCGTGTGAAAAAAAGATTCTGAATTTTAAATATTATAAACAAAATTTTTAAACCAAACAAAGTTACATTTAATACACTAGTAAGGATAATCCTTGAATCTAATGAATATCAATAAACGCTCGATTAGTTTTACGTTATCATATTTCACAACAAGTTTGTATAAAATAATTAATGTCATAAATGACTAATAATTCAATAAAATTTAATTAAAAAAAATACAAATTCGACCCCAACATTGCAGTTTCTTGTCAAAACAAACATTCAGATGGCCTCAATAAATCATAGTTTTATAATAAATTTGAAATGTCAAGGCGATAATTTTGAATATGAATAACTGACCTTAATTTTAAAGAATTTGAAACAAGAAACTAAATCATATATTTACCCGCAAGGCTTCAGGTGTGGTCGAAAAATCTACTGGTTGACATTTCCAACTGTAAGTCCTCAACCAACCGGCGTCGAGGCCCTGAAATAAATATATTTCCTCACATTATTATTATGAATAGAAACAAAACAGCAAAAAAATCTGAAAAATTCGGGGTTATAACCATCGATGAAGCAATATTCTTCAAAAACTATAATAAATTTGATCATAAAATACATATATTTATGTAAATAATTTGATTCTTTTCTGTGGGATTACATATATAATATGTTTTATGTGTTATGATATTATAAGTAGCATAATAAACTAATAAATATTTGAATGGAACACAAACCTCGTAAAACAACCAGCAACTGACTAAAACTTGTAAGAAATTATAAACCACCAATGTCTTCTGTAACTGGAAAGGTTTTTTGTCCGCCATGTACCGGGGACCCCATTTCAATGTGAAATACAAATACAGACCGATAATCGTCAATCCTGGGAATGGACTGGTGATAAGAAACCAGTCGTTTGTTCGAGGATCTGGAAATAATCAAACAATAACCTTATAAAAACTTCCTCAGTATGTAGATATTAAATTTATCAACCTTCTGTAGCGGAAACAACCTCGCTTGATCTTTATAAAGTTCAAAATATATTTACCGGCCAATTCTACAAATAACCGATGGTAGGTTTTCGCGATCGAGTTATTTGAGACCGCCATTTTTTATTTTCCGCTTTGTCACTTCCGGCCGGCTGTCATGAAAGGTTTTCCAGCATTTTATTGTAAACTATTCTAATGTGAAATCTGTAAACAAAGAAAACGTAGTTGTTGTTATAAAAGTTACATAATACATGAAGTAAACAAAATTATACAAAGACAACGCAACTTAAAATCCAAAAGGTTTTTACATCACAAAATAATATTAAAGGAAATATTGTTTTTTGTGATTCAACCGTACACAAATTAAGTAACTTTAAATTCAATAAAAAAAATCGAACTGTAAAACTCTTTAACTGTTATGAAACAAAACTAAAATTCTTGAATAAATTTTACTTTAAGCAATAAAGTGTTAAAAAACTTTTATTAAAATGTACCTAACTGTAACAGTCACACTTTTTATAGATGTATAGACTCAATGAAAGTACATTTCAATAAGAATAATAGTTGCTTTTTTGCCTTTATAGCGAATTATAAAAAACCTAAACTCATTCCAAAGTATTCTTCATTGAGATGGCTACGTTTAAAAAAAACGCTGCTTATTGAAATATTCAGACGAGATGGTCTCTAGAGAATTGACAAACATTACTTAGGCATCTATAATAATAATTATCACTAACTTCAATAATATATTATGGATAAAAAAAATTATACCTTTTTTAAGATTTAAAAAGATAATCTCGATCTTTTTTTAAACATAAATCTGTTCATTTGATAGAATCATAATAACCTTTAAAAAAACCCACGATGAGGTTAAATTGTCGTGCATTTCCATCATATACGAAGACAAACAACTATTAAGTATATTTTTGTACTATAAATACCATTTCAATAATAAGCTCACTAGACTATCAAATACAATTATAGAAAAGCATTGATAATATATAACAATTATAACATACTTGTAATATAAGAAAACTGTTTATATGCAAATAGGGTTATAGCAATTAAAATCAAATAAGGCCATGACATATGAATATTATAGATACATTTATATATTCATCTCTATACATTTTACCTCAGAATACTAAAAGCATACACAATAATAATAAATTGTCCGGATTATAAAATTATTTGCACAAGAATTGACATGTTTATTATCAAACATCACACACTAAAGAATACTATAATATTCGGCAACTGAATATTTGAAACATAAGTATTATAACTCACTTCTTATTTATAACATTAAATAAGTCTATTTATCACAAGATACGTGTGTCTCCTGGAGAGGCTCTGACGCGACTAACCTTTCACCTCCCTAGCTCCCTTGCCACCATTTTGAAAGATGATAAGGGCTGCGCGTGAAAACAAACTGTCTGATTTATATTCGTTTTTTGATAAATTTAAATTACAAAATCATATAATATATTGAGTATTGTTTTAGTTATTATATAAACTTTTATATATTGAATGAATAATTGGACTTTTATTGATATTATTGTTTAAAACCAAGATTTTATTCTTGGCCACATGCGCAGTAAGACGTCAAATTATATGTGATATCTTTTTTAAGAATTTTAGTGACGTATAGTTAAAAAGACCTCGATGCAATTAAACAAGGTCTTAAGATTAAAGTTAACGATATTAATCATAAGGAAATATATATTTTTTTTATTTCAGAATACTGTCTCATATTTTATTTAAAGTATATGACGGCTACGATTTTGCCTTGAATGAAATCAAAAAAAAAAAGTATATGTATAAATATGTAAAATATTAAAAAATATACATTAACTTAGTCTCCAGTAATAAAACTGTAATGTAATAATTAAAACCCACGGACAATGTCAAGTTTTTCGTAAGCTTATCTAGATATTCAATTTGTTAGACGAGAAAATGTCTGGCCTTATAAAAAATACAAATTACATTAAAACTCCATCTCTTAATATAAATACAGTTAAAGTAACAGTGACCGTGAACTTGGTATGCCGAAAATTTAAGGGTCACACTCAAAATACAATCACATACATTACATCAACTTGTAAGATGCAGTTTTGCAATTCATTCATACCCGCCGCGATAAATCTTTATTTACGTCAATTATATTAAGACACACCAGCCGGTGTATAAGTCTATATAATAACGGGTCTTCAAAATTGGCGGTTAGGTTGCAAGCAACATTTTTATTTGCGAATCGAATGGACTTTGACATCATTTTAATAAATGCTATATTTGCTTAGCCCAGATGGCCACCGGTTTCGTCACTGATTTGGTCCGCCGCGTGTCCTAAATACCGCGGTCCAAAGAATACTACACGGAAATCACTCCCACTCTCACTCACATTACAAAATGCGTAAGCGAAGGTTTTACTTTCATGGTAAAAATGACATAAAAATATGAGAATTATGTTAGATTTTTTTTACAAACACAATTTATTAACAATTCAAGCTATTTCAAATATATATGTAAGTTGGCTAACGCGTTTTAGAATATTGACACTTTAGTTTTAAGCAAAAACCTAATGACTTTATAACTCCCCTTTTCTCTGTTTGATGTTACCCATTTTAGATTACTTCCTTCAAGGAAGTGTCGAACAACAATATTTTATCACCATATAATGACCATACCAATTAGTTTTACAAAAATCCAATAATAGACGTATATAAATTTAAATATAATTTTTGATTGTTCATAAATAACTTTTCATTCTAAGAGATTTACGTATCCATTTTTTTGTTTGAATTTATTTTTAATATTTTTACTTCAAAAATTAAAAACCTTTGGATATATATTTGGATATTTTTGGTCCCCTTAAAATAACTGATACTATTTCTTCACTTATTTTAATTATTAAGACCATCAATTACACAATTATAGTCTTTTATTTGACTAAGACTGCTACGTCTTAAATAAAATTTAATAACGTGTTTAAAAGACTGCATCATAAATATGCTAATGCTACTTAAAAATTATTACATTTTTTGTACAAATATAAGTAAAAAATACTGTTTATCTCTACATTTATCTCACATTACAAAATTATGTTAAAAAATTCAATGTATAGTTGATTTTACTCCATAGTTATTTTAGAATGGAATAATTTGATAAAATTAATAAAGTAATCGAAGTAGATAACACGATACCTTAAATCATTTAAATTTTCACAAATTTCAATATTACAACAAAAGCTCATCATCATCAGCCTATCAGAGCCCACTGATGAGCACAGGCTTCTTTCTATCATGGAGAAGGTTTGAACATTAATCACCAAGCTTGCTCAAGACGGGTTAGTGATTTCAAACGTATAATTGTGAAATTATAAGTCCAGGTTTCCTCACGATGTTTTCCTTCACCGTCTGTCAGTGTACAAGTACACATGATTCGGAAAAATCACATTGGTACTTGCCAGGATTTAACCCGCGCCCTCAGCAACGAGTGGCGGGCCCTTTATCCACTAGGTCCCCACTGACTTAGAAAGTACATATGACTCGAACCCGCGTCCCCATGCATGACAGGCAGGCCTTTAAGCTCTAGGGCACCACGACTTATAGAATAATGATATACAAAAGTTATATATTCTTTATAAGAATAAATAAAATGTTATAAAAATGATTAAGCATGCAAAAGCTTAAATAACAGGATACTGTAACATACCGACACCATAGAATGTACTTGATTGAACAAGAATCATAATTAATTGTTTTTCTATTTCCATTAATGAACTAGTCATCCGATGAATAAATTGCTGAGTTATTGCTTTTAATTATACAGAAAAGAGAAGGACTGTCTTCATAAAGAGATTAGAAGAAATAACTTAGAAAGAAGAAGATGAGGACTCAAAGATTAGTATTCAGGATTATAAAAAGGTATGAAACGATACAAATTGGTAGAAACTTGGATAATTATATATAAAGGACGAATAGATAACGTCAATAGCAATTAAATACAAATGAATTGTTAATGAACATAAAGATTTGTAGATTTTGCCACTACGTATTTGGCGTTAAAATTGTGGTCAGACAGAATAGTCGTTTGAAGTTGTGGTAGAGCTTGTGGCAAACAAACTTAACTGTTGCAACACCTGAATAGTTTTACTATTGAGCGAAAATCCTAATTTCAAAAATATTTTATGTGTGTGTGTATATACGTCTGTTTTTGTGTATGTGTGTGGGTGTGTGTGTGTGTGTGTATGTGTAAGCGTAATGTGTGTGTCTGTGTTTGTGTGTGTGTAACACTATCGAATATCAAGTCCCTTGACAGTTTTAACATTTTAAAGTCTAAAGTTCCGCAAACAGAACTGTGAAAATGTAAACGGCCTTTAGATATCTTTTCCTTATTGGTCTTAAACTTTGCTTTATATCAACGTTCGAACTTCCGCTTTTATAACAGATAGTAAAACGTGAACTTCAATTATTTGGTCACTCATGTTAATTCTGGTAGGACATTGAATAAGTCAACTATCATTAAGAAAAAAAAATATCCTAAAAGAAAAAGTAGCTCTGTTCGCAAAGTAAAGTCCAAAGCACCGTGTATTACTAATATTTTTAAAAATTAATATACAATTAGATTAAAATTTTGAACATCGAAATGGGCCATCTTTCAAAAGGTTAAAACGTTTTCTATCACACAGATAGTCCCAAACTTATAAAAGAAAAATTTACTCAAGACGGTTATAAAAATCTTTTTTCAGCTAACATCTTATCAAATTTTATCTGCACGAAGTCTCTTAGTTATATATGTATAAACAACAAAACACAAGACAACGACTTTCACATTCACTGCAATAAAATCTATAAATAACTCCAGCAATTAAAAATTCTTCATTGGTTACTAAAAACAACAGATGAACGTCAAGCATCAATTGTGATGATATAATAAATTACTTTTAAACATCTAAAATTGTTAAAATTATATAAAAAATTAATGTTATTTGTTAATCCATTCATTTTTATAAGCGTTAAAATTGACTATTCCCATAAACTAACCAATTTTGCAGTCATTTTTCTATTATTATTACATGGTTGTAAAATTTTAACGCTGTGTATAAAAATTGAATATAC